CGGTTTTGGTGGTCGGAAGTTGTCGAAAAATTGCTTCAAACTTGCCCAAAAAATCTGAAAATCTGGGCAGATTTTCACAATTTTCGGTTGCCGATTTCGTGGGTTTATTCCGGCCGAATCACTTGGAGTTTTGGGGAGATTTTTGGTGGTAATTGAAGAGGACATCGTGGGCTTTCCAACGGTATCCGAAATCAGCGATTTTGGCGGTCGAAAGTTGCCGAAAAATTGCCTCAAACTTGGCCAAAAAATCTGAAAATTCAGTGATCGTTTTGAAAGAAATTTCAAACTTCAGTGACCGTTTCTGAAACTTTAAAACTTCAGTCACCGTTTTGACATTTTCAGGTAACTTCAGTGACCATTTGTGAAATTAACCCTTTTATATTATGATAGAGAAATTTAATGTTCAACATTAAACATATCACAAATGTACAACTACTTAAAGAAAAAAACTAAAATTAAAGAAGAACAAAAAATTTAATTTTTACATTGCAAATTTACCAATTTGATTTAATTATAACAATATTCCTTTAGAAATTAAATGAAAAAAGATTAAGAGGTAATATAGTTTAAATATGTTTTAAAAATAATTGTAAAAGTATTTTTTTATAAAGAAGGGAACAATGGAAAATACAATTTTGTGTCGAGAGAAACGGGTGAATATGTAGAAACATAAGAGATGCTTTTGTAATTTTAGAAAAAAAAAAGGGTGTCTCTAAAATTTTTGTTATGCTTCGCCACCTAAACTCCCACGTGACTCAGCCAACCCAATTATGTGGCATCCCACGTGGAGTGAGACCCTCACTCGAGAGCCAAAAACCCCGTCCGACCCTCCAAACAAATTCGATCCACTGAAGTTCACTCTTATCGAAGCGATTCATGAGACTAACCCTACCGAAGTCCCTCTGCTAAAGACAAATTCAATCCATCGAAACACACTCTTGCTGAAGTAATTCATGAGGCCGGCCCCACCAAAATCCCTCTACTAAAGACAAATCCGAGATCCAAATGAAACTTCTTTGCCGAAGTGGCGAGGTTCAACGAAGTAGAATCCGAGGATCAAGTAAGGTTGGTGACAATCCACCTTTGAAGTCTTGAATTTATGAAATCCTTTTAGAATGATTAACTGGACTTTTGTAATAAGTAGAAAAGTCAATCTTGTCAACATAGGTTATGGGGTGATTGCCTCCTTTTTGGGGATATTTAATGTGTTACGGGCTAATGGAGTCAAAATTAATACTTAGAATAAGATGCCTCAATTAAGGAGATGAGACCACGTGTCCCCCATCCCATGGACACCATTTCACATATAACACTATAAATATATCTCATTTGTGTCATTTTGTGGGTAATGCAAATATATCAACGGCAAGTCATACATTCTTCTCCTTTTTATTAATCTTTGGTTTTGAATGTCTAAGGAGTGATTTTGATCTTGAGTTTGGCTCTCAGTCGGTCATTCATTATCGTGTAATTTATCTCATATATTTCTCCGGAGCTTAAACATATATTTCTCGTGTTATAAAATTTCTCTCGCATTCAAATCCGAGATATTATGGATTGACAATCAGTCCACTCATATTGGAATTAGCTTAAGAGAACGCTAGTGAGCCTTGCATCTGTTGTCCACGTCAACGGTGCGAAAAAACGAGGTCAACAATTTTCTCTTACAATTATTGCATCAGTTAGCATGAGCAATGTAACTCGCAAATGTTATATTATATCAGAAGAGCTCAAAAAAGGACAAGTTGAGTGGATTGAGAATCGAATACAGCAAATATAATTGATGAACGATACATTTCGCCAGGTTGCCTCTTGCCTGCCCATGGATTCAAAACATCCGTCGCAGGGTACTCACCTGGACGAACACCACTGGCGCCTGTTCAGCAAAGACACATATAATTCCAATAACCAGTAAAAATTGTAGTGCTACAGCTGACTGGTAATGTCTAAGACGTGGACTTTAGTTGGAGTTGGAGTTGGAGTTGGAGTTGGAGTTGGTGCTCGTTTCAACTGTAGAAATTGGTTCTTCTGTGTTTGCTATGTTGCTCATTCAGACATGGTGGCTTGGCAGCTCCATAGTAAAAGAATGCCATTATCTTCTGCTGTTTAGACCCCTGGATACCAAGTAAAAGAAAAATTACAATATAGAAAAGGTAAATGCTTAATCAATGGTATACTACAGTGTACATCATTTTACCATTTCACGGTAGTGAAAATGAGTTCTGGGAAGGCCGAGGCTTGTAGAGCAGAGACCAAATCCAGCTCCACAACAGAGTCAATGGCAACACACTGTTTGTTAATATTCCCATTATAGATTTATAGTATATAAAAAATTTACACTCTTGGTGATGGTAGACTGCAATTCGATATGATGGGAATAGCTTTCTACAAGTCATCTCGAACCACCACATTGTTATTTGTTAATAGTATTAAAATAAGATTAAAAAAAAAAAAAAACAAAACAAAACATGCATTTTAGCATTTTAGTCTAAAGACGTTGTCTTAATCCTTATTTCATAATTTCATTTCCAAAGTGCCACGTAGCAACAATTATGGTGCATTTAATTGTTAATATTTTTCATGAAAAATGTGTTTTTTCTATCTAATTTCTTATTTTTGTACATTGATATTTTTTTCCAAGAAAAATAATTTTCTACTTTTGGTCACATGGTCATAATTTCCTTTAAAACAAGTAAATTATTTTTTTTAGGAAGAGGAGATTTTTATTTTCTAAGTAATTCTCTCTCTCTCTCTCTCTCTCTCTCATCTACCCATCAATAAAAAATGAATAAGTATAATATTTTTTTAAGTTGAAAACTAAAACAATCAAACACGTTTAATTAAATATTTTCATAAAAATAACTTTCAAGCAATTGAATTGCCTAAAAATTATTTTTTTTTCCATACAAATTTCATACTCGCAATCAAGCACACCTTATAGCATAGTTGTCAACTAAGCAATTTCTGATAGTGATACAGTATAATCCAATGTACCAAGCGGAAACTAAAAATGACCTACATGGCTTCTCAAGGAATAGAAAATTAAGTCTGTAACCTTGTGGCCTGTTACAAGTTAGCCAACATTCTAGGTCCGAGGCTTATAGCAAAGATCAACCGGTTAATTGTGATTAGAGATGTAAAGTAAATTGGGATGAGATGGTCGAGTGCTGACATCATATGAATCTAACACAATCCACATTCGAAATGTATCTTGCGTTTCTATTAGGCGCCTCCAAACATATCGAACACAAACATCCAAACGCAGACACAACATCATCTTAATAAAACACACACCAAACAATCTTTATCGACATCTTTTGCCACCCCATATTTTCAGATCAATAAAAACTACAAAAGGAAGTTCAAAAACTCAGAAATGACGTGAAAGCATCACATGGGCAGAGAATTTTATCAAGTAAATGACGTGTCCATTATCATGGGATCATCATCATATAATGAGGGAAGAAGCCAATTGAAAAAGGTCAGTTTGGTTTGTTGCTTCAGTTTCTGCCTCGAATATTCGAACAACATTTCCCAAAGTTCTCCCACATTCCATTTTTGGGATATAATCCATTGTACTACATTGTCAAGCTTCCTCAAGCTCTCCAAGCCAAATGTGTAATATAAGATGAAAGGTCTTAGTGCTTGAGACGCTGCAAGCCACTGAATTATGGCTTTGACTTCAGGATCTCCCCCGAAAGCACCGCATCCCCAATTCCCTGTAGCGATCCCGATTTCATTGTCATCCCACTTCTGCTCATTGACCCTAGTTGGTTGGTTACTAGAAGTTCCTTTGATTGATTGAAAGGAAGTCGGCATATTTCTCGTGGAACTTCCAAGAGGGTTTCTAGTGCCTTCATCAAACTCAGCTTCCGGAAATCCAGTGTCTACAAACAGATTTTCGTATTGCTGTCGCCTGGATTGATCATAAAAGCCACAGAATGCCTTATTAATCTCTCTAACAAGGCATTCTGGTGTGTATTGTCTCTTACCGACACGAGATAGTGCATCTATTGCAATTATCCTTGTCTTACGCCTTGCCATTGAATCAACACCCTTGACGTCCTCGTAGTCGCCAGAAAAGCAGAATGAAGAAGCATATCCAGTGTAATCGGAGAATCTCTGCGTACCAATAATTTCAATAGACTCATTGTCGGCCATTGCAGGCAAGAAAAGCATGCCAACAATCAATTCTGGATTGATCATAAAACGAATCTCTTCCTGTACACAGCCCCGGAAAAGAGCACCACCTCCTATGTATTTATTTGCAAAATCTACTTCAAGAGCTTCAGCAGGTTGATCCTCAATCAAACCAGAAGGGTGAACCTGCAAAGAACCAAAAAGAAATTGAACTATATTGATTACCAAACATGGGGCATGCCAGATGCATTTGCAAAAAAAAAAATAGTTCCTTATGTGGGAGGGAGATAGATGTAGATAAACAGACGGCAAAACTCTAATGTAAGCAGGTGATTAAAGAAGGGTTGAATAAGAAAAATCAAGTGGCCATCAACGAAAAAGTATAAAATTCAATAGTATTACATAAGAACTAAGACCAAAGGCAATGAAGGAAAATTATTAAAACCAAGCCCAAACTGGTAGACAATCTGATTGGAAATGCAATAGGGGGCCCACATGAACTTCCAGACTCAGATATTTCGGCGGGTTTGAGGAAACCAGCTAGATCCATCTCACCTCGAAAATCAAAAGTGAAATGGTTGCAAAAAGTCTTGAATCTAGGATCGCAGCCATGGACATTCCAAACAGTTAAGATAGAGATATCTAGATTGTTAGAGACCCAAGTTAACATATACAACGTGTATATGAACAAGAAAAAATAAAAATCTGTAACTTTTTATTTAAGTTAGCTTTACTCTAGCTTCTATAAAGTCTAACCTGAATCTATATACTGTTTTATCTTTAAAAGCTGCTGAAATAAGTTTCAAGAAACAAGATAATATTTTATTGCTAAAAAAGTTATGTGGATGCATAAAATCTAAAATCCTTCGCGTTAGAAGAAACAAAAGAAAAACTAAAGATTTCAAACAATTGCATTCAGAGTGGTGAAAACTGCTGTACACGCCTTACTTATTTTCAAATAAACTTACACATAACAAAATTGTAAAAATCAAATATAAAAATAATTTATGAAATGTAGTTAAATTTAATAACCACATTTAATTATTGCAGACATTTTCAAAAATTCATTTTCTAAATCATACAACCTAATTAGAGACATTCTTTCACTATTTCTGAATCCAAAATGATAACGAATCACATATATTTTGACATTATTTCAATACGAATATTAATGCACGCAGCACGCTGGTTCAACCACAAAACCACTTGACCCACCAGTTGGACCAGTATTTCCCTAGCCTGGTTTGATCTCCAGACTGGATGACGACAGCAGCCATGTCCAATAAGGCTATGGATTGCTCTAAATGAGAACTTGAACTTCAAAGTGAAAAATGAGCTCAAACCACTAGATAAATGTTGATTATTCATTGCTTACCTCCAAATGGCAAAGGGAGACGCTAGACTTGCTCCAAAAATTAGCCTTTGGGAAACAAATGTGGGATGGGCTATTTGTCAGAGGAAGAACTTTTCGTTCAAAAGAGACATTTCCCATAGGCATACACGAGCATATCTTCTCAAAATAGTGAACAATGCACTTTATTTTATTTTCTTGTTGCATGTCATGGGACTCATATAAACACCTGAAAGCACAGAAAATAGATGAATCCATTCTGCTTCAACAAAATTAAAAACACAAAAAAAATGAGAAATCCAATGAAGATTAATGGAAAAATACTACTTCCTTATTAATGGTGACTGTCCATAACTAACAAATAGCCCCACAAGAAATTAGTGACTAGATTAGCCACCTGGTCGCAACTCATTTTATCTCAATTGACCAGTAAAATAGTTTGATGATCTTCAAGAAAAACAAAAACAAAAACAGAAACAAGAAAATAAATAAAAATTTCATTATTGCAGTTCACATAAACTTCTTTCAGTCAAACCATGTATATATTGAAGGGGGAAGACAAAGGGTGGTAGGTCAAATGATTGCTTGTTTCCAGATAAACAATGAAATAAAAGAAAAAGAAAAAAAAATTCGTAGAAGGCATCTTTCTATATTAGTATGTTCTAATTTGTTCAGTAACTCAACTCTATCCTGTGTTACATTGAGGCATAATGAATGGACACAAATGCACCTAGATCACCTTCACGATAACAATCACTAAAATTACCAAGTAGGCATACACATGTATGCATGTTTGTACTGGCACTTTGCAGTGGGTATCCATTCATACATACATACATAATTGTGCATCACTAAAGATTTATGAGCCCAATAATGATGTTTTCCTTCTATGACATGCCATGCATTGTTTTGCTCAGATATTATGATAGAAAACGTAGCACCAGCATTGGAATGTCGATCTAAGGTCCTTTACACGTAATAGTTGAGGCCATGAGGGAACTATATGAAAAACAGGACAGTTCTTTATTATTAAAATTGGCAAGTTCTTATATATTTATCAACAGCTATCAGTGTAGATGCAAAAGACAACAATTAAGGGAAAAAAAAACACATAATGGGGCAAGTGGATGAAAACATACGCAAATAAATTATCAAAGTTGATTGCTTGGAGATGTTTGGCACCTCTATTAGTGGTTGGAAACAAGCAAAAGAAAGAGCAAACTAGAAAAGCAGCAATCAATTCCTGAAATAAACAAAAGCATTCACGATCAGAATTCATACTATCAGAATGCAAGTCATATTCAAATGATAAGAATGAACTCGTTAAACTTTAAGAGGGAAAAGCGTAGCTAAAATGCATGAAGTGAAAAATGGCAAGGGGTGTATAGTACAATGTTTGTTTCATTCCACTCTACTTTATGTTCTCCAGGTAATTGCCACAAACAACTAGATTACGTTATTCGTGGATAAGTTACAACCAATTGAAATACCGTTGACAAGAGTAATTTAAATTGGAAATGGAAAATAATCAAATAAAACAACATGCAGCAATGATTAAAAGTAAGTGGACAGTTACTAAACCCAAGTAGAGATGAATGGTTTCTCATTTCCCTTTTTTTATCATAGATCATGTTTCACTGATGCTTAGCCATACCCCCAACGGTGGTAGTTTGGAAACCCCCTGTAGCAGGTATAATTTTTCTAATTGAGGATTGATCTGTGAGCCCAATATAAAATACAAAGCCACAAATTGGCCCAAGCCCATGACCCTTGTTTAAGGCACTGAACCTTCAATTTGGTATAAGTCATCTCCTTGAACCCACTAGGATGACCTTGTGCCTTTGCTCAACCAACTAACAAAACAATAGTCAAATAAATACTGAAAGGGCACGGATGACAGCTAAGTGCAACCATAGTCAATGCAGTAATAGGCCTCGATTGAGCAAATGCAGCTTACCAAATGTAGATGAGCAAAAGGGCCTCTAAAAGAAATCTTTGAGTCAGGTAAAGATTCATTTACAACAAGCAAGAACCGCTTTCCTTCACCCCTGCTTTTCCATAATGTTGACATTCTCACTTGAGAGTCCAAGGGAGGATTTTCACTGGGACAAAGCCTGGCACCTCTAGTGAGACTTCACTACGGTCAACGTGAGTGGAGGCACCAAAGCAGTGGAGATCCAAACCTTAAGCAGGGGAAGACTTGTCCAATCACGGGTATCAAGAAAATGCTTGAGCACCCCCACCCCCACACATTTGCTAGTATAGATCCACAAAGGATAATATCACATTGCCCTTTCAGTGTGTTTGATGGAACATCATAGCACAATCATATTACAATCACTAAAGTAAAACCAAGTTTTAACATTATTTTGATTCATCCATCTCTTTCCCTGGTCGAATCAGGCATTATGAATATCTACGTGATATCCCAAGTTATTTTTTGCTCTTTATTAAGGGTGTGTTTGATAGATATTATTGAGGAAAGAATGTATTTTAAATAGTGATATGATGGGAACTATTTGGTTCAAAAGTAACGAAAAGTTATTGATGTGATAGAAAATATTATTTTATTGAAGAATGTGTGGTTGAAAGTGAGTTTTGAAATAATGTATTTTGAAAAAATGTGTGTCAAACAGGGCTAAAATTCAGAAAACATAAATAATGACATAGAATTTTCAAGTTTTCTAAGGTTACAATTTGCAACTATAACAATACATTACTAAAACAACACTGTCAGCAATAAATAAAAAACGTACACTTTCACAATACCATGAATACAGTTGAAATTTCAGGAATCTAAGAAGAACCAACAAAGAACACAGTCAAAACTACTGCAAAGAACCTTTTTAGCAATTTATAGAGTGAGTACATCTGATGTAGAACATAAAGGTAAAATGGTTTCAAAAGTAGCAAAAAGTTAGCACAAACTTAAGATTTTAAAATCCAAATATTCATCTTAGAATAGTAAAAAAAAAAACTCCAATACAATGTCAGATTATAACAAAGAAATTGTGTATCATAATAAATTCCAGAAATGAATATGAATGTGGTATTTTCATCACCTAGTAGAAAACTTCAACTCGTCTTGAATTCAGTTAAATGACAAATAGCAGTTAAAATTTCATGAAACAGAGAATAATCAAATCAAACACAGCCAAAGCTGACTGCAAAGAACATTTTAAGCGACACATAGAGAAAATGCATTTGATATCACAATGCAAAAAAAATGGTTCTAAGTTTTAAAAAGTTCACATAAATCTAATTATTTCAAAATCCAGAACAGTCATCTTAAATGGAAAGAAATTCGAATGCAATTTCGTACCATAAATCTAACCAAGGAGTTGGGTTATCCAAAATTGAATTCAGAAATAAACTGGAAAGTGGTATAATGTCACCTAGAAGGTAAAAAATCATTTCCAAAAGACAAATACAGTATTCAACTCTAAATCAGCTTAGGATAAACCGAAGTACGTTGACATTCAGACTTTGATCACACATTAATAAAATCATCAACTATTCAAAATTCCAAAAGTTTGAGGGACACAAGTAAAAGTGGGGAACATGAATACTGTGTTACTCAATCTGAAATGTCATGTACAGTTAAAGCCTAAAGTAAATGCACTAGCATTGGAAATAATTTATACTAGTAGTCAAGCTTAAAAACTAGTATACAAGTTTACCTGACTGAGAAACACAATACCCTGCTGTTGTGAATCCAGTAACCGAAGACCAGTTTCCATTCCATTGAAATTAACTGCATTTTGATAGTATGACTCCAAGAAATTTGGTAACCTTAATAGCAAATCTGCCAGTTGTGGAACCACCTTTCCAAACCACTTCTCAGAAGCATCCCTGCTCATCAACTAAATCATAGCAGCCAAATAGGTTAGAATAAATCATTCTTATTATCCTTCACTCAACAAATAAATTGTGCATTCGAAATGCAAGAATGAGGCAAATCACTTTACTACTTCACTTGCACCCATTGGAATACAATAAGATGTCAAGAACAACAAGCCAAGGCTTATTCGAAATAAAATTAGGGGTCAATTATATGTATCCTTCTCTGCCGTTCCTTTAGATATAGAGCTATCTCTGGTAAATCAAATCTTTTTCAAGTCATGAAAATTTTGGTCTACTACTCTCTCCTATCAGAAGTGTATCACTCTTGAAAATAGGAGCCTTTTTTTAGGTCTAATCAAGTCATGACCCAACAACCACCATTTGTTGTCCCATATTTATATTTCTTATATTTTCATTCAAGCGTGGCATTAACATCCTCACTTTTATGATGTTCTATCATGGACATTGTCCTTTAATGAACTAATTCTTAGTATCATAAAGTAAAACAAGCCTAAAGTATGGAACTTCTATCTTAACATGGTAAATATCTTCCATTTGCCGATGAAACAATATACATACACACACACACACATACATATCTATGCTCAATATAATAAATTTTATCAAAACTTGCAACATTGGCCTAATGAATAAATGACCGCCCAAAAAGAAAAATTAAATAGGCAAAATGAATCAATTAAATAACTTTTTACGTCATCAAAGAAGAGGGCATAGCCGTGAAGTGCGGAAGGGTGGAGGGCGAAATCGGGCAAACTAAGAGAATTACGAAGGTCGGAAATGGCGATGGAAAGAACTTGACCCGAGTTAACGTTGCTGTGAAGAGGTCCTCTGGCTAGCGATTTCAGCGCTTCCACCATCGGCGGCGGCCAGAATAGTGCTGAGGAACGGAGAATTAGTGGTAAGTATGGTAAAATCGAAGTCAAATCCTCCCTAGTTTCGAGAGAATTCATGGTACTGCTATTGGAGTTACTCTCTTCCATTGGGGCATCAGATTATCCAATTTTTTACAAGGAGAATCAAGTTGGAGAAGGAAGATGAAATAGAAAATTAATTGTCAAATTTTTAATTAGCTTTTTCTCTCGAGTGAAATGTTTGAACAAACTTTAACATTACTTGGACTTATTTGCCGAACTTCAAAATGCGTCTCCATGGTCATTAAACTTTCAGTCGTTACACCACATTCAACACTCACCAAATTCCGTTACATTATTCGCTAATTTGGTTAACGAAAATCTGACGTGGCAAGTTACGATTGTTAAAAAAATGACAGCTCAGCGAAATCACTGTTTCATTACTCATCCAACTTACACTTGGTCACAATTCACTCATCGAACTTCAAAATGCTTCACAATGGTCACTTATCTTTGAAATGTTGCACTCCATTCATCATCCGCCATATTTTGTTCCCTTCATTCTTAATATTCGCACAAAAATTCCACATGATAAGTTACAAATGTTAAAAAAATTACAACTCAACAAAACTTAACTAACCAAGATCACCATATATGAAACGTGACTTCCATGGCCCCCATCAACTTCTTTAAAAATTAAAACCCAATAAAGTGTCCACAATGATTTTTTTTAGAAATATTATTTTTCTAATTTGAAAGTTTACTGTATAAAAAATAGGTTTCAATCTGAAACTGAATAATTTGTTTGGTATGAACATTTACAATATATGAAACGCAACTTTCACACCTTATAAACTTCTTTAAAATCCAATCAAGCATCCCCAAACAAGTTATGCTTCAAAATTTTAGTATCAAATTGAAACATATTTTTTGCACAATAAACGTTCGAATTAGAAAAATGATATTTATAAAATAATCATTGGGAACGTTGTATTGGGTTTTAAAGAAGTTGATGGGGGTCATTGAAGTCACGTTTCATATATGGTGATCTTGGTGAGTTAAGTTTTGTTGAGTTGTAATTTTTTAACATTTGTAACTTATCATGTGGAATTTTTGTGCGAACATTAGGAATGAAGGGAACAAAATATAGCGGATGATGAATGGAGTGCAACATTTTAAAGATGAGTGACCATTGAGAAGCATTTTGAAATTCGATGAGCAAACTGTGACATAGTGTAAGTTGGATGAGTGATAAAACAATGATTTTGCTAATTTGTAATTTTTTAACGGCCGTCCGACGCCACGTAGGAATTCCGTCCGCCATGTCAGCGCCCAACAAACAGATTTTTTGACAGTGGTGGATGGAGAGGTAAATGACAAAGTTGAGTGAGTACTGTGAAGCAGAATGAAGTTCAGTGAGCAATCCGTGACGATTGTATAAGTTCAGTGATTTTTGAAATAATTCACTCTTGAATTGACAGTTTTTTTTTTCATTTTTTTTATTCTAACGAGGAGCTAAACTACTATTGGCCCCCTTTTGATACA